GTTTGCATTCATACTACAACCACACAGAGTGGCAAAAACTGATCGTTCCAACCATTTATCCATTTCTTTTAGCTAATTATTTCAGCTATTTATTCATTACTTTTAGTTGACAATTTCATCTCAACTAATGCTACTTGCTAAGTAGTTTTCACGCACTTTTAATGGCAATAAGACCTGAATTTATTGTTGACTCAATCTGTGGATGCATTTTTTTCTCTAATCAAATAATTAATTAAATGTTTTCAAATTAGTTGAGCTACTCCAATCTCCCCTGTACCCCCTGGCAACAGTGGAAGTACCCTGTCTGGTACAAGCACACCTGTTTGGAAACCACTTTATTTGCAGGTAGACAAAAAAGTTAGCACACCTGGAACACTGGTAATAATTCCTCTTTGCACAGGAAAACTGCTGCATGCACAACTGTGGTTAGTAGAGTACTGCTTGATGTTAAACCAGGAAGTTGGTCTGTAACTGTAACTCATGACATACAGAGGTATTGGGGTGATCTTCAATGTTTTTTCTGTATTCAAATGCATGCTGATTATCCAGGCTGAAGATTAAAGCCAAGCGCAAAGGTTTCAGTGTAAGGCCAACAAAGCATAACAGTCTAGTTCATTAACTTCATTAGACATTAGAGACTTTTAGTTTGAGGCCACTGGGTAAGAATGAGGGAGAGATGTAGGTAGATTGCGGCTTTTCTTTAGAAGTTGTTGGCATCTTCCTGTTCCTCACTTCTGAGGAATATCTGATATTCCTCAGAAGTGATGTTAGAAGCACAAAAGCTGATGCCACTATTCATTTTCAGCAGGCCTGTATTGCTTGCAGTGTGTAGATTGTTTCACTGTGCTCGAGATGAAGAAATACCCAGAGGCTCTTAACTACAGCTGGGATGGTTCCCAACAAACGCTCAACAGCACATGAGGGAACACGGCAGTTACTCTCCAATTAATCCTGCTTCTAAACCCTGCTGCTGAATGTGTGTGAGAATGTGTGTGTGTGTGTGGGGGGGGGTTTGTGCTTTCTTTACCTATCAGAGACTTGCTCAGATGAAGCACTCACTCATACCCACTCTAAGACAGACTCTTTTAAACCCACAAACAGCATGTGCCAAAAAAAACAACCAGTTTTCCCTTCAGCTCCATGTTAAATTCTGGCCGATTGATTTGGCACACAAAAGCTCACACTTGACTAAATCTAAGACTATGCACACGTTACAAAAACATAACCATAGTTGCTGAAGTAAAACGCCGGATGTAAAATGAGATGATAAAGTACTGCTGCCACTCATCAAATAAGTGAGTGCTGTGCCTTTGCTGATGTGCATTTTTTTCTTATTTGCAACATGACT